ACTCTCACACACACACACACACACACACACACACACACACACACACACACACACACACACTCTCTCGGGGTATTTAGGTTACCCTGAGGGCAAAGAGTTGATCTACAGAAGAAAAGCCCGGGCTGAGGTTTTTCTTCTGGTGTATTTCACGGCAGCACAGACTGAAGCGATGAACTATTAATCCTCCACACCACGCCTGCGCGATTACTGTCCAGCACACGCATGAATATGAATATGATTATGCAAATAAGCGTCCGTAGAGTTTCTGTCGCGGCCGAAATACAGAAAGCGCGCTGCTAGCACGACTGCTAACCCACACTCACAACACTTCCCGAACCGAGCAGAGCCGAGCCGAACCGAGCCGGTGGACCGGTTACTCCGTGCGAGGCGCAGTGAATATGCAGCACGCGAGCGCGCCATTTCTAACATTCAGAGTTTTGTACAAAACAAACAACTCTCATCTGCTGCTAACGGAGTCAAATCATCGCCTGAATAACGACCCATCTCCGCCACTGCGCTCGGTTCCGTCAGCAGATGATCGGCGCGCGTTGGGCTTTGTTTACGCGAGGCGGACGGGGAATATGAATATGTAAAATGTAATAATTACCTGCAGTCGAGCGCTCATCTTGAGTCGTTGATCCTCTGTCCGCCATTTTGAATATTTAGTGTGAGCGCGAAACCCCGCCCACCGCTGCTACCACACACACACACACACACTCTCTCTCACACACACACACACTCTCACACACACACACACACACAAATAATGTTTGATTTTTAAAACTCTCCTGTTTGTTTGGATTAAAGCGTCTGCTAAATGAATAAATGTGAATGTAGTGTTTGTTTTCCTGAGAGCACAAACCCCGCCTCCCAGAGTTAAACATACCGGGGCTAGTTGTCACAAGTTCTGTATAGGTTTTGAGACAAAAGACCAGTTACACAAATGCTTGATTTCTTTAGCAATGATTTGTTTGTTGATTTTAAAAGGACTTTAATATAATGTTTGTATTTGCTGTGTAAACAAGTAAACACACTAAAACACACAACACATTCAGACAAGAGTCACTATATTGAAGGAAGATTTGAATTGAAGGAGCACTTCATAAACGTCAGAGAGCTGTATTTTATATCATGTATAAAGGTATCATGTAATTTACTTAAAAAAATGTTTTGTTTGCTGTTTCATGAAATGCTCTATAATCTTTGTACATTTTTAATTTCAGTGTGTAATGTGAAAATTCAGCTGCGCATCACTAAAATATAATTTATTTATAAGTATAATCGCCTTGACAAGCATTAGAAACTTCTTTAAAAAACATTAAAAATCTTACAGATCCCAGACATTTGAACGGCAGTATATACCGTATAATGAGATGGTCCTATATATATATACAGTGGGTACGGAAAGTATTCAGACCCCCTTAAATTTTTCACTCTTTGTTATATTGCAGCCATTTGCTAAAATCATTGAAGTTAATTTTTTTTCCTCATTAATGTACACACAGCACCCCATATTGACAGAAAAACACAGAATTGTTGACATTTTTGCAGATTTATTAAAAAAGAACAACTGAAATATCACATGGTCCTAAGTATTCAGACCCTTTGCTGTGACACTCATATATTTAACTCAGGTGCTGTCCATTTCTTCTGATCATCCTTGAGATGGTTCTACACCTTCATTTGAGTCCAGCTGTGTTTGATTATACTGATTGGACTTGATTAGGAAAGCCACACACCTGTCTATATAAGACCTTACAGCTCACAGTGCATGTCAGAGCAAATGAGAATCATGAGGTCAAAGGAACTGCCTGAAGAGCTCAGAGACAGAATTGTGGCAAGGCACAGATCTGGCCAAGGTTACAAAAAAATTTCTGCTGCACTTAAGGTTCCCAAGAGCACAGTGGCCTCCATTCCTTAAATGGAAGACGTTTGGGATGACCAGAACCCTTCCTAGAGCTGGCCGTCTGGCCAAACTGAGCTATCGGGGGAGAAGAGCCTTGGTGAGAGAGGTAAAGAAGAACCCAAAGATCACTGTGGCTGAGCTCCAGAGATGCAGTCGGGAGATGGGAGAAAGTTGTAGAAAGTCAACCATCACTGCAGCCCTCCACCAGTCGGGGCTTTATGGTAGAGTGGCCCGACGGAAGCCTCTCCTCAGTGCAAGACACATGAAAGCCCGCATGGAGTTTGCTAAAAAACACCTGAATAAGATTCTCTGGTCTGATGAGACCAAGATAGAATTTTTTGGCCTTAATTCTAAGTGGTATGTGTGGAGAAAACCAGGCACTGCTCATCACCTGTCTAATACAGTCCCAACAGTGAAGCATGGTGGTGGCAGCATCATGCTGTGGGGGTGTTTTTTAGCTGCAGGGACAGGACGACTGGTTGCAATTGAGGGAAAGATGAATGCGGCCAAGCACAGGGATATTCTGGACGAAAACCTTCTCCAGAGTGCTCAGGACCTCCGACTGGGCTGAAGGTTTACCTTCCAACAAGACAATGACCTTAAGCACACAGCTAAAATAATGAAGGAGTGGCTTCACAACAACTCTGTGACTGTTCTTGAATGGCCCAGCCAGAGCCCTGACTTAAACCCAATTGGGCATCTCTGGAGAGACCTAAAAATGGCTGTCCACCAACGTTTACCATCCAACCTGACAGAACTGGAGAGGATCTGCAAGGAGGAATGGCAGAGGATCCCCAAATCCAGGTGTGAAAAACTTGTTGAATCTTTCCCAAAAAGACTCATGGCTGTATTAGATCAAAAGGGTGCTTCTACTAAATACTGAGCAAAGGGTCTGAATACTTAGGACCATGTGATATTTCAGTTTTTCTTTTTTAATAAATCTGCAAAAATGTCAACAATTCTGTGTTTTTCTGTCAATATGGGGTGCTGTGTGTACATTAATGAGGAAAAAAAATTAACTTCAATGATTTTAGCAAATGGCTGCAATATAACAAAGAGTGAAAAATTTAAGGGGGTCTGAATACTTTCCGTACCCACTGTATATATATATATACTGTGTATATACTGTGTGTATATATATATATTCATACATGTGTTTGTGTGTGTGCATATATATGTATATATAAAGACACACACATACAGTATATACAGTGTGTCTTTATATATACATAATAAATATACACAGTTCACACACATAAATAATGTACACAAAAACCTTTATTTTGGATGCAATTAATCATTTCATTTAATGACTCCAGAGCTGCTAAATATGCTTTTTTGTGTATTTGTGACTTTTGTAAAAGTTTGACTTTATAACGAATGCAGCGATGTTATCTTCTGTTTGTTTATATGCAGTATCATCACACATATGAAACAACGCATCATTACCGCACTGATATTCTACATCTGCAATACATAACGACATCTTTAATTTTTTTGGGCATAAACAGTCATGTTTGAGTTAGTTTTTATCGTGGACGTGTGACTTTGACTCCTCCTGTTTCCTCCACGATGAAAGAACTTCATCATCCTCCATCTCCTCCGCCACCCGCGCTCTCGCCCTCTGTTTAATCTGAGCAATGAAAGCAGATATTTCCTCATCTTCCTTGTCTTCCTGTGCAGTCTTAGCAGTCCTCACAGTCTCATTGTTCTCACAGTTAGCATACGATCTCCTGGTTCTGTAACTAGTATCTTCACCTAAGCCGGGTTGATAGGTAAACTCCGGACTGGGATCTCGAGCCAAATCCATGTCATCATCAGCCCGATGCCTGGATGCAAACCTCGAGGCGAAGCTATATTCCTCCTCTTCGTCGTGATTGACTGAAATCGAGCTCCTGCGGCTCGGGAAGTCAAACTCCGAGGGTTCCTCGTACGATGGCCGAGACATGCGGGCTGGCTCGCCGTCTCCATCATAAGGCGTAGGCTTGCTCTGAGGAGGTCTTACGTTTTCGAGCCATTCATCGATGCTGCTGGTGGGGTTACAGGCCGAAGCTGGCAGATTCAGTATTCCGGAACGGCCGTAATCTCTTTTAGGTTTGGGTTTCTCAGAGGAAAGGGTGGCCAAATCATCAAATCCGTTCAGTTTTCCATGATTTACTTCGTCGTCCTCCTCCTCCTCCTTTGGTTTTTTCTTCTTGTATAACGTGCTGCGCTTGTTGTCCTCTGCGATCTTCTTCACCTCATAGGAAGCCATCTTGTCCCGCATTTCTGACTTGATTTCTTTCTCCATGGTGTCCAGTTTGTGAAGGTTCACCTGGTCTTGGAAGAGGCTGTAGAGCGGCACGCTGGTCGTAGTAATCTTGCTCCGCCGGGACACAGAGGAGAGGTTGGATGCTCCTCCAGCAGAAATCACGGACTCGGCCCGACTGCCAGCCAAGAGCACGGATCGAGCCTTTCCACCCAAAGACAGCACGGATTCGGCCCTGCTTCGGGACAAGTATGTGGATCCACTCAGCATTGAGGCTTTGTCATCGTCTCCTCCGCGTCCGACACCCAGACTGAACACCGATCCCGCTCTGGAAGGAGCGAGACTCGCTCCCGTCATCATCTCGGCTTGCTTCTGCATGAGAGTCTCATTGACCACATTGGCAATCCAGTTCTGGATGTTAGAAATGTTTACCATGGGCTCGCCGTTAGGGCCGACGACCGCGGCCGGAGGCTCCTGAGGAACTGGAGGCTGCGATCGGGTGCTATGACCTGAAAGGACGGAAGACCTTCCGCTGAGCACAGACACGGTATCGTCTCCGGCGGTGCTTGCAGACGGAAAGGCTCCGGCACAGAATGCGGACAGCGGGATGCTTCCGCTCAGAGCGCTCTCGGTTTCCCAGCCACACACCGACTGGCTCTCCTCCAGCGTCTTCCTTGTTCGCTCCAGAAGCTCCTCGCGTCGCTGTCTTTTCTTGATCGTGGCCGGGTCCTCGGCTCGACTCATCTTCAGAATTTCGTCTTTGTCCTCTTCGCCGCCATGCTTCTTCTGCTGCTTGAGTTTCCAGGTCTGATAGGCCGTCAAGTTGACGTCCTCCAGCGAGGGAGCGGGAGCTTCGGTCTTGGCCTCCACTTGGTCTCCGTTCTCGTCTTTTTTGTTCCATCCGAACTGAATTCGCTTAACCTTCCATCGTTCCAGAGGTGTTAGGTTCTCCTTGTTTTTCTTGCAGAAGTTGTACATGGAGCTGCTGTCCGAGAGGATGCTCTCGACATCGTCGTCGATTCTTTTCTGGCTCGCTTCGCTGTCCTCGTCGGCCTCTTTGAGTCGGTATCGTGCGGCGGCCTGCTCCTCAATGTCCTTCAGACGCTGCTTCCAGAGATCAGAAAAGCTGCTGTGGCTCGTCGTGGACCCTATATCCGAAGCAGGTCGACGGGGACGATTCTTGATGCGTTCCTTCACCTTTCGCACATCTTCACTGGTCACGCTTTGCAGGTCCTCCGGTCGCACAGCTGGCGGTTTCCCGTCGCCCAGCAAGGACTCGCCGTCCTCCCCGTCGCACATCAGCTGTGCCTCCCACCAGTCCTCATTCTGGTACTTCTCATTGCGCTTCTGCCACTCCCTTATCATGCTGTCCACATCCCCATCTTCATCTTCCCTGTCTTTTCCAGGGAGCGCCGGGTCCTTGGCGGTCACCTCCAGGTCGGGTTTGCTCGGGCCCCCAAGAAGTCCTGCTTTCAGAGCCGCGGCGGCGGCCGAAGACGCAACGCTGCTCATGACGCTGCTGCTGTCTTCCTCCTCGTTCACCATGATGG